CAATCTCCACCTCCTGGGTTCAAACAATTCTTCTGCCTCAGCCTCCTGAGTAGCTAGGGACTACAGGCGCCCGCCACCATATTGGCCAGGCTGGTCTTGAACTCCTGACCTTGTGATCTGCCTATCTCGGCCTTTCAAAGTGCTGGAATTACAGGCATGAGCCACTGCGCCTGGCCGGTATATGCTACTTCTTAAATGGGAAACAAAACAGTAACCTTGGGAAGAAAGACTTCCCAAATATAACAACAACAAAGGAATAAAAGCAAGAGCTCACCGAGAGTTGTTATGATGAATATTGCATGCTCGGGCCATTAGTGCTACAATAATTGGTCGAAAGGCTTTCCCTTTTCCATCAAAGTAGTACTCAGACATTTCCTTAAGTTCTGATGTTGATATGAGCAGTTCCTGAAATAAAGTTTCTCTGTGTCACAATGGCATCAAAACTGCATAGAAAGTCAACAGGATTTCTTTTTTTGAGACAGAGTTTTGCTCATGTTGCCCAGACTGGAGCGCAATGGTGCAATCTCAGCTCACTGCAACCTCCAACTCCCAGGTTCAAGCGATTCTTCTGCCTCAGCCTCCCCAGTAGCTGGGATTACAGGCGCCTGCCACCACCCCTGGCTAATTTTTTGTATTCTTAGTAGAGGTGGAGTTTCACCATGTTGGCCAGGCTGGTCTCAAACTCTTAACCTCAAGTGATCCACCTGCCTGAGTCTCCCAAAGTGCTAGGATTATAGGCATGAGCCACCGCACCCAGCCAATTTTTTTTTTTTAAAAGACAGAAAAAATGTCTTGCTCTGTCACTCAGGCTGGAGTGCAGTAACAGGATCATAGCTCACTGCAGCCTCAAACTCCTGGACTTAAGCAGTCCTCCCACTTTGGCCTCCTAAATTGGTGGGATTACAGGCAAGACCCACTGTGCCCAACCATGTGAGGAACTACGGCAAGTTTTCAGGAAAAAGAGTTGAATGAAAAATGCCACATTTGGGGCTGTCTGGCATTCAGAATTAGACAAGGAAGAGACAGCTGGAGTCACTGGGAGGTGGTGGGTTTTAAGAGGAAAGGTGGGATAACTCATTGGACAAGCATGAGCTACCTGGACCATTTTTTTTCAGGTTCCCAACCCTGCCATAACCTCTTACTGGACATTAGCACATACTGCATTTTTCATATTGCCTGGCACTGGGTCACATGTGGTTCTTGCTCAAGAAACATTTAAAACTTGACCATACATGAGCCAAAACTGCAAACCACATTGTATAGCTCTGAACACCTGCATTGGTTTTTCATAATCCTGGCACTTCAGGAGGCCACAGCGGGTGGGTCACACGAGGTCAGGTGTTCCCAACCAGCCTGGCCAACACGGCGAAACCCCATCTTCACTAAAAATACAAAAATTAGATGGCGCACGCCTTTTATCTCAGCTACTCAGGAGGCTGAGGCAGGAGAATTGCATGAACCTGGGAGGTGAGGGTTGCAGTGAGCTTAGATTGCACCACTGCACTCAAGCCTGGGCAACAGAGTGAGACTCCATCTCCAAATAATAATAATAATAAATATAATAAAATTTTAGTAAGTTTTAGTAAAACATTACATTACAGCAGAATAAAAAACTCACCTTTCTAATGTCCTCATACAGACCTTTCAAGTCTCTCCAACCGAGTTTGAAAGGATCGGTGTATTTCTCACCACTGTGTGTTTTACTGTCTGGGGTTGTGTGATGAAACCTGGGGCATGCAAAAATGCACATGACTTCATTTTCAAGTAAGTTTTATATACATACATATTTTTTTTTTTTTT